TGAATGATCTAGAGAGGTCAAACTGATGAGAGATGAAAAGTAGAATAATGCTTACCAGGTACTAGGTTGAGGGCAGGATGTGACATTATTGTTTAATGGATACAGAATTTAAGTTTAGGAAGGTGAATAAGATTTGGAGATAGATGATGATGATGATGGTGCATACATTGTGAATGTATTTAATGCCACTAAGCTGTACACTTAAACATGATTAAAATGCCAAGTTTTATGTTATGTATTTTTTAACCACAATAAGAAAATACTGAAAAAAATACCCACAAAACCTCATAATAGCATTTTAAAATTAAGTATTTATCTTACAAATCACAGTTGAGAGTATGAAATTAGCAAGAAATTAAAGAACAAGAACAGAAAACAGAAAAGATAGCATAAAGGGGCTGGGGTTGTGGCTCAGCGGTAGAGTGCTTGCCTAGCATGTTCGAGGCGCTGGGTTCGATCCTCAGCACCACTTAAAAATAAATAAATAAAATAAAGGTATTTTGAAAAAAAGAAAACATAGCATAAAGAGGTCAGGTAATTGGAACACAATGAAGTTTATTTAGTTCTAATAAATAATTTTAGCATACTTTGGCATTGTCATTCAGTTAAGAAATTCATTACATATTTTTAACAAAAGAGAAAAAATTAGTTTTTTACTTTTGGAAGGGGGTTGGTATTGGGAATTGAAACCAATCTACTTTCCCACTGTCCCCCACCCTTTCTTTTTTTTCTTTTTCTTTTTATGGTACTGAGGATCACACATGACAGATAGGTAAACACTCTTATCACTGAGCCACGTCCTCAGCCCACATAAAGCGTTTTATGTTTGCACACTTATTTGACCAGAACACACAAAGATCGATTTTCAATCACATTCTTAGGAAATAGCATACTATCATCATCATTTTACCAACAGTGAGGTAACATTTGTTAGTTTCTTAAAGTTGATCTTCACCAAATTGTGTACTCTTTTGTGACAAGAACCATCTTCTGGTTCCTTACCTCTCTTCTTTCATTCCCACTTCCTTTTATTAAATCATCACTGAATACCTAATCTGGATCATCTCAGTGGTTGTCTTGAACAGGAAGGACACAATAGGTATTGGCTGAATCAGTTTTGTCAGAGGAAGTATAATGTTTAAAAGACCATTTTTTTGTGAATCTAGGGAAAGAACTAGGAATATCCACTGTAGTGCTCAGAAGACTTAAGAAGAAAAGAGAATTTTATAAGTATAAATGTTCTCTCTATCCTCTGTGAGCATATTGGGGAAGTAAGAAATGGGAGATGGCAACCCTCATTCATCATAATCCTCATTTGCCTTTTGTAGTGTAAGCATAACTGGCTTCCCTGAATTTATTCTAAAGAAGTGGTTTTCTGGTACAACCTGGCTTCTACACACAAGCTTAAGTTCTTCACCATGTTCTCAGGTTCAGCGACAGTGGTGTGTTGTGTGCACAGAGGAAAAAGTGGACTCCGATAAATTTGTTGAGTATATGGGATGTCAGTTTCAACATGGTGCCTTCAAAGGTGATTTGACCCTGCATGGCAAGAGTTTTCATCTTAAATACTGACTTTAAACCCTAAATTCTATTTAAAGTGTATTGCTACTTGTATGAGAGAAAATATGAAACTATATATGGTGGGATGCCAGTGTATGTTCCCTTAGGGTATATAAACAAGTTTGGTTACATGTGTAACAATCTTTAAATTATTTCCTTCAAACTTTAGGGTTTTTTTTTTTTTTTTCAATGACCAAGTTGATTTTTTTAATGACAAGAAATTATCACCTCATATTCATTCAACCAATAAATATTAAGGCTGTTGCCTTCTTCTGGGCAGATACAATTGCTAGTAACAGTATTTACAACAGTGTGCAAAGTAAACACAGGTCCTTCTACCATAGAACTTATATTCAAGTGGAGAGACAGACATTAAATCACAAGTTAATTATATAATTATAAATTACAAGTGCTAAGAAAACAAAGCATTCTATAATGGTAACAGAAGGACCCAGTTTGGTTTTAGGAGCTTAAGAAGGCCTTTCCAAGGAAGAAACATTTGAACTGAAACCTTTAGGGTGTCTAAATTCAGTAGGCAAAAAATGGAGGACAAGAATGTTCTGGCCAGAGAGAAGATTATGCCCAAAGCTCCTGAAGCAAAAATGAGGTTGATGCATTTGATGAATGAAAAGAAAGAAGGGCAGTATAGCTTATTGAAAAAATTTTTCAATAAATTTAGTTAAAGATTCATTAATCTGGGAGCAACCACAGCATACCTTAGAAGAGTTGCCCCACTGAGCATGGCAGAACAGTTGGTTTTGATAAGGTATCCAAACCAGGAACAAAGAAGTAGACTAACACCTTGGTGTTAGGTTACTTTCTATGTGAGGATAAAAGAAGAGTAGACTTCCTTTTTACTCCTGCTCAGACTGAGTTTCAGTTGGTTGCTATAAATCATCTGTTTTTATGAAAACTGATCTATCAGTGGAAAGTTTCAGCTTGATTGCATTCTACTTAGCACAAGTGACTCTGGATTGGACTGTTGGGACTGAGTGTAGGAGCTCAGCCCCAAACAATGGTCTTCTATAAATTTTATTTAACAGAGTAAAGCAGAATGGTGGGTAGATATGGTTAAAGATAGACAAGTGCAAGATTATGCAAGGTTTTTAAACCATATTAAGGCATTTGGATTTTATTCTGGCAGGCAATTGTGGTTTTATTTATTTTTGTAAAATTTATTTTGGCTGCTTTGTGTAGAAATGGATCATACAAGGGAAGTCACAGACCTGAGTTGGAGAGGGTCAAAGTGTAAGTTGGAGACTTCAGTTGGTTAGAAGGCTGTTACATAGTCAGTACCAGAGATGGCAGCATTTAGGATTAGAGTGATGTTGATGAGATAAGGTGAAGTAGACATAGTCAATTTATTTTTAGGAAATAATTCTTCCTTGCCTTGGTGGTTATAGAGAGTGAGGGAGAAGAAGCTGGAGAAAAGTGACTTCTAGTTTTCTAGAGTATATAATTAGGTAAATTTATTAAGACAGAGATTGAGGAAGAAGCAGGTTTGAGGAAAGATGATCAGATTATCAGCTTTGAACATATAAAAAGTGAGACTTCTGTTATACATTTACATAGAGATCTGTGGTTGAGTTTAGACAGAGTCAATGTACAAGTGTTGGGGTTGAATGCATATCACATATGAGGTTGTACTATTTACCTCATAACATACTCTCGTATGAAAATACACAGGCATGAAGATTCCCAATCATTGCTGCTTAGAGTTCTGGGGCAATAATGTTTACTCTTGTGCTGCTCCAAATGTAAATTCATACTCACATATACTATAGCTATTTATAGATGCACTGGTATATACACATATCTGCAGTCTCTTCCCTCTGCCTTTCAACTCTACTGAGGTTTATTCTCTTGCTTATTCATTTACTATTTTCAGAGACTTAATTGTCGTTCCCCACCTGACTGTGAGCCTGACCTGGTTACCTCTCTTGGAGAATGAGAGATGGTGGACAGAATATGCATGTGCATGCTGTTCTTGGGGTGTGTTCTCTGATGTCTGACAGTGTCTGTGAGGAGAATTATTACCAGTTACAGTTGTTTGTGTTGTAACCTAATATATAGTAACTTAAATTTTTGTTATTTAAGGAAGGACATCTTTTACTTATCTCCACTAAAATGCTATAAGGCTTAGTTGTGTCCTCTAAAGCTCAGAAGAAAGGTCTCAGCCATGATATATATTTGTTGGTCACCAGCCTTATCTTGATGGTCATTGGGTTTAGCTAAGAAGAGAGTCCAGTTCTGACCCTTTGAAGAACTCAAGCACTGAGTAACTTGATAGAAGGAAGAATAATAAGGATTTGCCAGAGAGGTAAGAGGCAAAATGATAGAAAGTGATGATAAGGAACCTGAGAAAGAGCCCAATATAATTTGTAAATCTGACCCAGAAGCCTTGGGTAGAATCTTCACAATCAACCCTGACAAACCCTTCATGACTTTATTTGCTCTGTATTGGTAAGACCAGTACTTACTCAGGTCTTATTACCATATACAGAAGCTCCAGAAATCCATGAAGTACTGGGTCCTGGGTTAGAAAGAAAAACAGCTTTGTAGAAAATAATTCTATAGTTACTACAAACCTTTCTATATCCAGAAATGTTCTTTTGCCTGTTAGATGTGGCTTAGATAGTAGATCTCTTTGTCAACAGATATAAGTGTATTGAAATATATTTTAAAAGAAATTTGAATACTTTCAAATCTTTTGTTTGTCACATATCATTTTTTCTTTTTGTCTGTCTGTCTCTTATTCAGTACTAGGCATTGAGCCTTGCATATGCTAAGAAAGTCCTCTACCACTAAGCCATGCCAGCCCTTACTTTCAGTATTTGTCGTTGTATTATCAGATAAATCTACCTGAAGCAGCTGATGATGTTATCCCATTATGAAGAAATCTTCAACGATGTTGCATTTCATGTACAATAAAATTTTTACTCTTCAGCTTGGGATTCCATGCACTGCTGAATTTTGTCCCAATTATTTTTAAATATTACTCATCTTCTTAATCTATCCTATAGTCTAGCCTGACAATAAAAATGTCAGTTATTCTTATATATTCCTTGTGTTTGTTTATGTAGTAACTTCTGTGTTAAATGCCTTTCTACCTTTCTCTCCATACCAGAAGGCCTATTTTTTAATGCAAGGTATACTTTTCTTTTTCCAAAACCTTCCTGAGCTAGAAATAATCTCCTTTCTGAACTGATCAGTGTTCCTCTTTATGTTTTCTTATGTCTTTGTTTCTCCACCTTGTGTTATTGGCATTTATTCTGCATGTTTCATAGCTTCAGTTTGACTAATGTGTCTTGACATTGTAACACTCCCATTGTAGTGCTTTTTTCATAGAAGTGGTCTAAGAGGCAGATTTTTTAAAAAGGTTTGTCTTAACTTCAAGTGTATGTTTGTGTTAATTGTATTAACTTCCCATTTTTCTCTAGGGTCCAATGATGCTATTGCTCCAGAGTTTCCCGCTCAGGTGCTAGGCACAAGGGATGATGACCTCTCAGCCACTGTGAACATTAAACATAAGGAAGGGATCTACAGTAAGAGGGCAGTACCTAAGGCACCCCTGTCACTGGGGAAAAAACCCTTTCAAAAAGATAATGCAGGTAACTGCAATGGCTTTGTGTATTTTGTGACTTGCTTTCCCTGTTGTATCCTAAATGAGAATATTATCTAGTCTTTATCCTTTTTCTGATTTGTTATGCGAAATTTCCTCTTTGTTATTATATTGGTATATACAAGAAGGTAAATATTTATAAATGCTTTTAAGTGCTTCAGGGATATTTTTCACCATAGGAAATATAATATGTTGCAACTTTTGAAATAATACCCAATACAGTATGTTTTGTAGATGAAAATTCATAGAAAATATTGGTTAAATTGCCTCATGAATGTATCTCCATCAGATCTTAGAAACTAACTTATCAGGCTGGATTCTTCAAGAAAGTATGTGCTTACACATGTCTTAAATTTTTTTTTTGATGTTGTCGCCAACATTTTAAAATAAGATTTGGTATATAGAGCTAAACCAGGCAATTTTGGCTGGCTTTGTAGAAATGGACTTGTATTTGGACAGTTTTCACAGCAAAGCTGGAACACGTATATCCTTCCCACAGAGTTGTTGTGAGAATTATGGGGAACACTCTTTTCAGTGATCAAAGGCAAACTATTATTATTATGACCTAGTTGCTTTGTGAGAATCCATGGACTTCTCCACTTTGCACTCATGGTTTTTGTTTTTCTCTTACATTCACTGTTTGTTTTGTTCTCTTATTAAATAACATATTATCTGCAAGAAAGAAAAAAGAAAGAAAGACTTTTAAAAGATTAAAAAAAAAAAAAGATGATGATTTTGGAGTGGGGTGTGGTAGTGCATACATATCCACTGACTTGAGAGGCCAAGACAGGAGGATCTCAAGTTGCAGGCCAACTTCAGCAATTTAGTGCCCTAAGCAACTTAGACCCTATCTCAAAAGATTAAAATGACATGGATGTACTTAGTGGGGCCCCTGTGTTCAATCTCCAGTACCACAAAATAAATAAATAAACAAACAAATAATACATAAGTTTTGCAGCGTCCCTTGAAAAATCATAGTATCAGGTTACACTCAGCTCACATTTCTCTTCAGCAAGTGTTTTACTCAACTTTTTTATTGCTGCAATTCAAAGGCCTGACAGGAACAATTTAGAGAAGGAAAAATTTAATTGGGGGCTCACAGTTTCAGAGTTCTCAGCCCACAGACAGCTGATTTCATTCCTTGGGGCTCCAAATGAGGCAGAAAAATCATGGCAGAAGAGTATATGGAGGGAGCAGCTCACACAATGATCAGAAAGCAGAAAGCGATTCCTCTTACCATATACAAAATATATACCTGCCCTCCGCCCAAAGACATGCCCCTAATGCCAACTTTGGGGATAAATTCTCTGATTGGGTTAGGGCTCTCATAACCCATTTAAGGCTGTCATAACTTTCATTTCACTTCTGAATGTTCTTGCATTGTCTCGCACATGAGCTTCTGGGGGACACCTAATATCTAAACTATTACAGCAAGATTTGTTCAAATCTTCTCTATTTTATAATCTTTCTGTTTCTAATACATATTGTTGAACATGTTATCTATACATTCCTATCATTTTTACTGAATAGAAATTTGAATATATGCATATGAATAATTTATCTTCCTGGTGTATTGGGTCTTTTTGTTATTGTGATTTAAACTTCCTCCTCTATCTTAATGTTTTTTTGACCTGGAAGCACTGTTTTGTCCATTTTAACATTGCTCACTAATGTACCAGATATGAAGACTTACTTTATATGTAGTTTATTTAAGATATCATTTGCAAAGGAGTAAATAGAAAAATGCAATAACAGTGACCCAGAACATATACATGAATATGGAAATGAAATATACAAAGATGGAATAACAATATGGAGAACAGATGAAGATGAACTAACCATTGAGTATGACTTGGACCACTGATGATATGTGTAGGAGAAATAAAATTAGATAAATCCCTACTACTCATTGAATTTTTTCCAGGCATATTTAGTCTAAAGGAATGTGTTAACCTTTTAGACTTTAGGCAGTCATGTCTGTCTGTCTATCTATCTATCTATTTATTTATTCATCCATCCATTTATTTATTTATTAAAATTTATCAGTTTTGACATGCATGTAACCAATACAATCAATATAAAAAGCATTTCCATTACTTTTTTAAAATTTGATATCATGCACACTGTGTTTCCTGCATGATTTATTACATTAGAAATCAATCACCTTAAGATATTAGACAACCCCACTCCCACATGCCAACTATTATAAAATTAAGATACTTAAAAGTATCTTATAGGTCAAGGAATAAAGCACAAGAAAGGTAAATAAAAGGTGCATGGAACTAAGTGATAATAAAAGCTCAAAATATCAGAATCTGTGGGCTGAAACAGTACTCAGATGAACGTTTATAACTTAAAAGTAATTATTATCAGAAGCTAGATTAACAAGTTATTTTCAAAAAGTGGGGAAAAAATGAGTTGGAGCAGAAATATATGAAATAGAGACGAAATAATACAACTGCAAGTTGATAAAAATCAAACAAGTTTAATCAAGAAGGAAGCAAGAACACAAAAATTAATATCAAGTGAAAAGGAGCTATATAATAACCCTACAGATTCTAAAGGTAATATTACAATTACATGTCAACATATGTGATAGTTTACATAACATGGTGCTTATTAGAGAAGGATCCTTGTGCTGCTGAAAAGAAAGTATATTCAGCCATTGACAGATTAAATATTCTGTATATGTCTGTAAAGTCTAAATTGCCAATTGTATTTCATAGTTTATAGCTTCTTTATTTAGTTTTGTTGGGAGACTCTATCCAGTGGTGAAAGAGTCATGTTAAAGTTACCCAGTGTTATTGTGTTGTTTCTATTTAATTCTTGAAACTGAGAAGGGTTTGTTTGATGTATGCAGATGCTCCATTATTTGAGGCATAATTGTTATCCCTTAAGCAGTATGAAATGTCCTTCTGTCCCTTCTGATTAACTTTGGCTTGAAGTCCACTTTGTCTATAATATGAGGCCAGAAACCCCTGCTTTTGTTTATCAGTTCCATTTGAGTGATATGTTTTTTTCTGGTCCTTTACCTTCAGTCTATGGATGTCTTTGCCTATGAGGGGAATCTCTTGAAGATAGCACATTGTTGGGTCTTGTTTTTTAATCCAATCTGCCAGTCTATGTCTTTTGATTGATGAGTTTAGTCCATTTACCTTCAGTATTATTATTCAGATATGATTTTTATTCCCTTCCATTTTGATTTATTTCTGGGTTTTACTTTGAATAGTTTCTCCTTTTCTTGACTGTTCTTCTAATGCACTTCTTTCCTTTGCTGGTTTTCACTTTTATTTTTCATTTCTTCTTCATGAAGTATTTTATTGAGAATGTTTTGTAGTGCAGGCTTTCTAGTTGTGAATTTTTTTAACTTTTTGTTTATCATGGAAGATTTTTATTTCATTTTCAGTTATGAAGCTTAATTTTGCTGGGTATAGTATTCTTGGCTGGTATTCATCAAGAGCTTGGTATATATTCACAACTTGCTAGCTGAGGGCCTGGATTGAGAAATCAGCTGAGATCCGATTCGTTTCCCTCTAGATGTGACTTGCCATTTTTCTCTGGCAGCCTTTAAGATTCTATCCGTATTATTATCCTTATTCTATCCTTATGTTAGGCATTTTCATATAGTGTGCCTCGGTGTGGGTCTGTTGTAATTTTGTATATTTGGGGTCCTGTAAGCCTCTTGTGTTTGATTTTCCATTTCATTCTTTAGGTTTGGGAAATTTTCTGTTATTATTTCATTGAAAAGATTGTGCATTCCTTTGGTTTTTGTCTCTGAGCCTTCATCTATCCAGATAAATCTTAAATTTGGTCTTTCAGGTTATCTCATATTTCTTGAAAGTTTTGTTCATGGTCTCTTAACATCTTTTCTCCACAGTCGACTTTGTTTTCAAGATTATGTATTCTGTCTTTATTGTCTGAAAATCTTATCTTCCAAATGATTTAGTCTTTTGGTGATGCTTTCCATTGAATTCTTAATTTGGTTTATTGATTCCTTCATTTTGAAGATTTCTGCTTGATTTCTTTTCAGAATTCTATCTCCTTGTTAAAGTGAACTTTCACTTCCTATATTTTCTCTCTGATTTCACTCCTTATATCATTCTTTACTTTGCAGATCAGTTTGACTATGTCCATTCTAAATTCCTTTTCTGACATTTTTTTTTAGGTGATCTATTTTGTGACCATGGTATAATTCAGGATTTCTTAAATAAGACAAACAAAACACAGATCCTAAGGGAAAAATAAGTAGATCTTAATATTGTTAAAATGGAAAGTTTTGTTCCTGAAAGATACCATGCACAAGGCACAGATTGAGAGAAGATATTTGCAACTCATTATTAAAAATTCTACAGAAATCTTCATTCTAGTGCTTTTCAATATTAAAAAAAATTGGAACCAGCCTTAAGTTGACCAATAGGTTAGTTGGTATTTTAATGCACTAGAATACTGTAAAGCATTGAGAATCCGTTATAATCATATACTACAAATCATAATATCCAGTGAGAAAGGCATGTTGCATAAAAGTACATACAGTATTTGTACCTGTTATGTAAAGTCTAAAGACATTTAAAACAAGATTGTACATTATTTATATTGATTATTTTTATGATTCATACTAGTGCAGTGTAGTAAAGAATTCAAAAACATCCTTGAGACTGATAATTTAGTATAAAGGTTGCTGCTGAGAATAGAGAATCATTGAGACTTTACACAAGGAGTTATCATGTCTGTGGTGTTTTATTTCTTAAGCTCAGTTGTAGATACCTTGGTGTTCATGTTATTTATACTTTTATAGGCCTAAAATATTTACTCTTCTTAAAAAATTAGGTATTCTAAAAATTTCAGAAGATTTTTTTTTTTTTTTTGTACCAAGGATAGAACCCAGGGATGATTACCACACACATCCCCAACCCTTTTTATAATTTATTTAGAGAGAAAGAGTGTGTCTCTGAGTTGCTTAGGGCCTTCTAAATTGCTGAGGCTGGCTTTGAATTCGCACTCCTCCTGCCTCAGCCTTCCAAGCTGCTGAGATTACAGGTGTTTGCCACTGCACCTAGCTCAGAAGAAATTTAGAACAAAGAGATTAGGAAGATTGAAGTAATAGAAATAAGAAAAAATAGAATTTAAAAGAAAAGAGCTAGCATGATAAGTAAAAACAAGACTGATTCTTTGTTTTGTTTTTAGTAATCTTGAATGCCTTTCTGATTTCTTTCTCTTTTTAAAAATTTTTTTAGTTATACATGAGCACAATATCTTTATTTTGTTTATTTATTTTTATATGGTGCTGAGGATCGAACTCAGGGTCTCACACGTGAGAGGCGAATGCTCTACTGCTGAGCCACAACCCCACTCCCTGATTTCTTTCTTAAAAAATATTAATAGAAATAGGAAATTAAGTATAATCAAGATAAAAAAAGAAAGGAGAAACAAAGTATTAGGAAATGAGAGTGCTATATTTAAAATCTAGATGATATAAAAGCTTTTTGTAGCCTATATGAAATGCCAAAAGTGGCTTCATAAATGATAAAAACTGAGTAGGCCAAAGAGTTTGAAAGTCTTGTTCAAATCTACTTTTTTTTTTTTTTTTTTAGTTGTAGATGGACCCATTTTTTTTTTTTTTATGGACCCATATTTTTCTATGGCGCTTAGGATCAAACCCAGTGCCTCCCACATGCGAGGTGAGTGCTCTACCACTGAGCCACATTCCCAGCACCTCAAATCTACTTTTTTACTTTGAAAAACATTACTTGATCTATACCTTTTTTCTTTTTGAAACTGTTGCATCATATCATCATAGAACAAATTTTATTTAAACTTTCAATTCATGTAACAGTTTTTATATAATGGAGCCTAAAATTCTTTTTTCCTAATTTATAAAGGGCTTCTCATCTTGCATGTTTTGGATGGAGGTGGGAGGGTTGCTTGTCTTATTGTGTTTATTATCTTTAAATTCTCTATGGGATTGAATGATGTCATTATTCCAGAGGTGCAAGTTCAAGTAGCCATCACCACGGATCAGAACCTCTCAAATGAAAAGCAGAAAGAGGAGAACTTAAGTCAAATGGTATTAACTAAGACTGACTGGCCTGAAGAAGAATCCTTGCAGAAAGATACTGGAGGTAGCTGAATGGGATTGTCTGTATATTATTTTCTTCTGCTCTTCTAAAATGTGGCTATTCACTAAAGAATATAAAGAAAAATATGTTCTTTAGTGTCTTCTTGCTATCTTCAAACTGTTTCCATTTTGCTCATTTTTGGTGTGTTTTGGCAGGGGTTAAACTGACATTTTGAAAACTCTTTTGAGCTATTCCTGAAAAACTTGAATAAAATAAACAAATTAATCTAATTGTCAGAAATTCACTCAATGGACTTTCCCCCTTTACTGTTAATATATTTCAGTTTCACAAAACTCTAATACCATTGCTTTATTCTAAAGAATAAGCCTTTATCCCTAGGAATTCATCTTGTTTACTTCTGAACTACCTTTCTAGTTATTTTACTTCAGCAGGATAATGCTTTTTAAAGTGCCTTTAATAGCATGTTTAAGTTAGGATTATCTTTGGCTCTGAGAGATGAAAGCCAAAAAAAAAAAAAGTCAGGAGAATATTCCTCATAAAAGTTCAGGATTTTTATGATGCTTCCATGTACCAAGAAACAATGCCTTTCCTCTTCTATTCATCTCCATTCTTAAAGTGTAGCTGTCTGCCCATATTCCAGCCAGTCAGCATAAAGAAAGGGAAAGGGGAAAAAAAAGCATAATTTCTTCCTTTTACGATGCTTCTCAGAAGTTACATGTTTTCTTCCCTTTGCATCCTGCTTGCCAGACTTACTCACATGGTCACACCAAACTGCATTGCCAGGGAGACTGATGGTCTTCATTTTGGTAACCATATGCCCAGCTAAACTTTGGACCTTATTTTAGAGGAAAAGGAAATGGGTATTAGAGGACAGCTGGTATTTCTGCTACAATTATAAACTAGAAACATTTTAGTGCAGAATTAGCCACTTCTCTCTTTTATATATTGCGTTTTTTAAAAAGAAGTTCCATTGTATTCTAGAAAGCCCTTCAAATTTTTATTCATTTTTTTACTGTCACTAAATGATGTTCTGGAAGCAGTTTTGATCATGTTAGTCTCCTATTTAGTATTCATTGCCCGTGAATAAAAATCTAAGGTCTTTTAGTATCATCTTCCAGAACATTAGAACCAGTTCCCAAACAACCTTTTGAAGGCTCGTTCTTACCTCTTTTCCTTATAAATTCAATAATCAAATAAACCATATACATTCACTATCACTTAGATACTCACTTGTTTTCCCAACTCTATTCTTTTGTTATGTATTCACATTTGCTTAAAATGCCTTTTTCTCTCCACCTCAAGTTGTATCCCATCTTCTAATACCCAACTCTTCCAGAGTTGTTCTATTATACTTCTTGCTGAAATTAGTTTTTTTTTTTTTTTTCCTTTGATACTTATACCTCTTATCTGTCTCTTCTGGTATAGTCTTTAAAGCAACTATTTATGTACATGTTCTTTTTATTACTTCAATTTAGATAGCTTACTAAACACATTTCTGATTGATCTTTTTATTTTTTATTTTTGACACTAGTAGCACAATGCCTTCATGTTTTTCACATAAATATTCTTAGAGGTATTTAAAAATTTTTTGTCAGCTTCTTGTCAGTATAAGTTAGTAATTTTTCTCTCTTAGGTTCCAGTGATGCTACTGCTGCCAAGCACTTAATTCAAGTACAAGATACGAAGGCTGAAAACCTACCAGACATGAAACCCACTGAACCCATTTGTGGATTCAACCAACAGAAAGAGGAAGTCTATATTGATAGAACAGTTTCTAAGGAAGCCTGGACAGAAAAGAAAGAATCCTTGCAGATAGACATTTCAGGTAACAGAATTGTCTATGTGTGTCTGTCTAAAGAATAAGCCTTTATCCATAGGAATTCTTGTCTGTATGTTTGTTTCATTCTAATGAGAACACAGCTTCATTATTTAAGCAAAGATCCATTTTTTTCTCCCTCCCTTTTTTAAACTTAACACAAATCATTTCAGTGCTGCTTTGTTTGTGGACATATGTATTGATTTGTAAAATAATTTTTAAATAAGTCCTGGGAAAAGACTTTAAATAACTCTAGCGACTTAGAAACAGGATTATAAGAAACTACAGTCAGCCCTCTCTGTATCTATGGATTTTGCATTTGTGGATTCAACCAACCCAGGATCAACAATATTGGGGAAAAAATTGTTACTTTATTGCACATGTACTTTTTTCCCTTGTCGTTAGTATTTAACAATTATTTATATAGCATTTCATTGTATTTAGTATTATAAGTGATCTAACAATTATTTAAAGTATAAAGGAAGATATGCTTAGTTTATATGCAAATTCCTCCCCATTTTATATAAGGTACTTAAGTATCCACAGATTTTGGCATCTGTGAGAGGCCCTGTGTCCAGTCCCTCCAGGATATTGAGGAATAACTGCACCTAACACTGATGGTAATAGAAATAAAATATCATGTCTCTACTGAAACAGGGAAAACCTAAAGCCTAAAAGGTATTCCAGAAGACTGTGACAAAGACAATGACAGCATCAATACAAATTTTTTAAAAAATTATAGTAAGAAAGAGCTCAAATCAAATCCATTTATATTTGCCCATGGCCCTATTTTTATGGCATAAAAGCATACAGAACACAAACTATTACTACCTGGTTGTGAAGCTTTACCTCTCAGATGAAGCTAGAAGAGTATTCAGATAAGGAGAGAAAGGAGGCTAGGAGCTTATCTGTGTATCCTGTATGTTGAAAAAGGATAACAATGTCAACAAAGTAACAGTACTATGCAATGAGGAAAAGATAGTCTCTTCAATAAATGGTGCTGGGAAAATTGGATAACCACATGCAAAATAATGAAGTTGAATCTTTACACTATATACAAGATTAACTCAAAACAGATTAGAAACATAAACATAGCCTGAAAATTATAAAACTCCTGAAAGAAACCATAATAAAAAAGCTTCAGGAAATTGGATTTGGCAATGATTTCTTAGGAGATCATACCAAAAATACATGAAACAAAAGCAAAAATAGTCAAATGAGACTATATCAAACTTAAAAACTTTTGCATCTCAAAGGAAAAAAGAATGTGGATTGACAACCCACAGAATGAGAGAAAATACTTACAAATCATATATCTGATAAAGAGCAAAAATCCAGGATATATAAGGAACATCTGCAACTCAACAACAAAACCCAAAAATCAATAACCAAAAATAAATAAATAAGTGGGCAATGGATTTGATAGACAGTTATTCAAATTAAATATATGAACATAAGCAAATGTATGAAAAGATACTTGATATCTCAAAAATGTAAATCAGAACCACAATGAGATATCAGTTTATCCCATTAGGACGACCACTATGATATAAGGCCAGAATCACAAATAGTAGTAGGGATATAGAGAAATTGGAATTGGAACTCATGCACTGTTAATAAATGTAAAATGATATGTGGAAATTTCTGAAAAACTTGGGACAGGAGTAACCAGGGATTGAACTCAGGGGCACTCAGCCACTGAACCACATCCCCAGCCCTATTTTGAATTTTATTTAGAGACAGGGTCTCAGTGAGTTGTTTAGCGCCTTGCTCTTGCTGAGGCTGGCTTTGAATTCTTGATCCTCCTGCCTCAGCTTTCTAAACAGCTGGGATTATAGGCGTGCGCCCCCATGCCCAGCTAGTAATCACACTTCTGGGCATATATCCAAAAGAATTCCAAGCAGGATCTCAAACCCCATACCCATATTTCTCACAATGTTATTCATCATAGCCAAGAGGTGGAATCAATTCAGATGTGTATCAGCAGATGAATAGGTCAAAAAGAAATGAATTATTATCAGCCAATTAAAAATTAAAAAATGTATTACATACATAAAATAGAATATTATGCAACTTTCATAAAGAAAACCTCTCATATGCCACAACATGGATGAACCTCAAGGACATTTATAGTAAGTAAAGTAGACCAGTCACAAAAAGATAAACACAATATTATTCCATTCATATGAAGTTTAAAGTAGATAAAATCGAAGAAACAGAAAATAAAAGGTGGTTGCCAAAAGCTGGGGTGAGGGTGGACAGAGAAATAGTGATTACAAGAGTTAAATATCTGTGAATGTGTTTTATACTATGGAACTACTCACTTAAAAATGGTTAGGATGGTAATTTTGATGTCATGTTTTTGTTTTTTTTTAACCACACACACCAAGAGAATAATTTATAGAAACAACATTGCAACTCTATAATAGGTACTATAAAAGAAAGATGAGAATAAAATCTGTAAAAGCATAATCTAGAAGACAAGAAAATTTGTCGTAATATTTTACATTTTTAAGAATTTTAAAAACCATGAAATGTATGGAATTAAAGTTGTTGAAGTGAGAACTTTATACCTATTAAGGAAGTGATGAAATGAAAGCAATTAGCAAAAATAATGGAATTTGAGGACTAACAGTGAAAATCCAATACAATAATGCTTATCGCTATCTCTATAAGAGATAACAGAAAAATAATAATTGAGCCTGCAATTTAAAAGAACATGCCAAGTTCTAGAGAAAAAAAATACATATAAAGACCTGTATTGAGATGTATGTTGATGATAGCACTGCATTTCAAAGGGAAAAAAATGAATTGTATAGGCATCCACACAGAAAAAGCAAATAAGAAAATCAGGGGACAGGCAGAGGAAAGGGAAGTGAAAGGAAGTATAAATGAGCTAATTTTATTTTTAAAGTTGATAAATCAAGAAATACATGTACAAGTACAGTGTTTGAAATAATAACAGTTACCCCTAAAAGAGTTAAACTATAAAACATTCAAAATACTTGGAAAAACAGTGGCAGTGGGCATGGGGGTAGAGGGAGGAACAAGCAAAACAAAGTCAATTTCTGTAACAAGAGAAAAAAACTATCATAAAAATTGAGGAATGGAAAGTATACCAAATATAAACCAAATTACCTGCATTAAAAAAAGTTCTGAGAGTAGATTAAAAACAAACTTATTTCTATGCTATATAGCAAACTTTGAAAACACAATGATCCAGAAAGGTTGAAAGTGAAATGAAAACTTAAAGGCATGTCAGAAAGAACTTGGGAACATTAATATAGATGAAGTTAAATTCAACACCAAAAGTTTTGTAGAAGTTAAAGAAGAACATTTTTTTATCTGTAATCCACAATAAGAATATATTGCGTAAATCTTTAAATGTATGAAATAACATAACATGAAAAATACATAAAATGAAAGCCAGGAAATTTATGTTGCCTTAAAGAATGAAAATATGGAATTATGTGAAAATGTTCTTAAGGTTTATTGTTAGGCAAAAGGTGCTTAAGGTTGGGAGGGGGGAGTTGTGGCAGTGGTAGGGCGCTTACCTAGCATGTGTGAGGCACTGGGTTCTATCCTCAGCACCACATAAAAATAAGTAAAATAAAAAATTTACAAAAAGAGAGGAAGGTGGAATATGCATTTTGAGAAAAAACAGTAAAAGAGAAAATAAACTAACAGAAAAACTTGGACATTCAAAAAGAAAGGTCTAGGGGCTGGGGTTGTAGCTCAATGGTAGAGCGCTCACCTAGCATGTGCAAGGTGCTGGGTTCGATCCTCAGCACTACATGTACATAAACAATTAAAATAAAGGTATTGTGTCCAACTACAACTAAATAATTAAAAAGAAAGTTCTAATATAGAATAGTAGCAGGGACAGAGCTTCTCATAACTTCATGTTTTCAAGGTTTATATCAATATTTCATTCATTTCAGTGGCTGAATTGTATGTGTATGACACATTTTGCTTATCACTTTGTTCATTAATGGATATTCAAGATGTTTCTGTCATTTTGCTATTATGAATAAATGCTTCTGTAAATATTCATTTGCCAGTAGTGGAATTGCTGATACATGAACTAATAATGATTAATCATTCTGCCCATCAGCAGTTTGTGAGAATTTTGATTTCTCAATAACCTCACCAGCATTTATTATCTCACTTTTTTTTTTCTTATAGCCATCCTGGAATGTGTAAAGTAGTATTTCCTTCCTTTTTATTTATATTACCTTCATGAAAAATGATGTTGAACATCATTTTTCATGGGTTTATTAGCCAGCTATGTATCTTGGAGAGAGATATATTCAAATCCTGGCCTGGTTTTTAATTAGTTTGTCTTTTTATTATAGAGTTCTAAGAATTCTTTAAGTATTCCAGATATTACCCCTTATCAGATATGTGATTTGCAAAGATTTCATCAAATTCTATGGGCATCTTTTTATTTTCTTGATGGTAGTCTTTGAATCACAAAAGATTTAATTTTGATAAATTCCATCTATTTTGTCTTTTGTAGTTCATGTTTTGGGCATCATAGCTAAGGATCCTTTGCTAAATCCAAGGTCATGAAGATTTATTTACCCTTATGTTTTCTTCTAAGTGTTCTATGTTTTTCACTTTTACATTTATGTCATTGATCTATTTTGAGTTAATTGTTTGTGGTATGAGGTAAGGGTTCACCTTCATTTCTTTCCATGTGGATATCCAGTTATCCCAGCACTATCTGTTAAAAAGACTATGCTTCTGTCCTTTCTTTGCCAAGTAGTCTTGACATACTGAAAATAAGTCCATCATAGATGTATAGTTGTTTATGGACTCTTAGTAATATCAAAATAGTAACATATTGATGTGTATGTTTATTCTTATGACATTACTACCCTGTCTTAATTACTATTTATTTGTAGTAAGTTTTGAAATTAGGAAGTATGAGTCCTTCAGCTTTGTTTTTTTTTTTTTTTCTGAATCATGTTGACTACTCTGGGTCCCTTACAACTCCATGTGAATTTTAACACGATCTTACCAGTTTCTACAAAGAAGCAAACTGGGATTCTGATAGGGATTTTATTGAATCTGTAGGTTAGTTTGAGGAGTGTACCTTCTTAAGAATGTTAAGTCTTTCAATCCATAACATGGGAAGTTTTCCATTTATTTAGATCTTTAATTTCATAACAATGTGTTGTAGTTTTCAGAGTATAAGTTTTGCATTTCTTTTGTTACATTCATTCCTAAGAATTTTATTTTTTATGCTATCATGCTTAGAATATTTTAAAATTTGGACATAGATAATTTAATATTATAATTCTGTTTATTAATGAATCAACATTTTTATAGTACCTGTTTTTCTTTCTTACAAGGGTATGTGTACACAAAAATGCCACATGTAACCAAAATACCACATAAACTTTTTTCTTATACTTCTGGAGACTGAGACATCCAAAATCAAGGGGCTGGCATATTTGGTATCTGGTGAGGGCCCAATCTCTGCTTTTAAGATGGTGCCTTGTTGCTTTGACCACACATGTAAGAAGACATTTAGCTATGTCCTTTATAAGGGCTGTAAGTCCCACTTGTGAAGATGGAGCTTTCATGACCTAATTACCTCCTAAAGGTCCCACCATTAAATGCTATTACATTGGCAGGATGCAGTTTTAACATGAATTTCAGAGAGACACAAACATTCAAACCATAATATGTTGTAAGATATTGCATTAAAAATGACTTTTTGATTAGAGTAATGAAACTTTAAGGTAGTGCATTTTACATTATATATATTTTATTACAATAAGAGAAATCAAGGGGGAAAGTAAATATGTTTTACAAAAAAAGGACTTTTAAAAGACTTTAAAATAAGAGAACACATGTAATAACACCCCACACATGACAGGTAGCGGTACAAATAGCAGGTGAACTTATGATCAAGTGCCTTCCTTGAAGTCACATAGTTGATCAGTTTAGCCCCCAAACCCAAGTGTTTTGACCCCCAGTTCCATACTTTTACCATGTCAGTCTGGCTGCTGAGTACAAAGTATGAGTCTTTTGGGCAGGCAATGGATTTTATAAGACTTTATATAAATAAATTAATTCTTTCCTTCAATCTTTGTTCTGTATCTAGAGAATTCAGTACCAATAGTATTTCTAAAGGTAATGCCTATTTTTTTTTTTAATTCTTTCAAAATATTTTTTTTCCCTCTATCTCTTTTCAGAGTCTGAATGCCATTCAGAATTTGAAAATACAACTCATTCTGTCTTCAGGTCAGCCAAGTTTTATTTTCATCATCCAGTGCACCTCCTAAGTGATCAAGATTTTTGCCATGAATCTTTGGGAAGGAGTGTTTTTATGAGACATTCTTGGAAAGATTTCTTTCACCATCATTCAGACAAAAACAGAGAACACACTTGTCTTCCTCCTCCTTATCAAAATGTGGACAAGACTAAGATAGATTATACCAGAATAAAGAGCCTCAGCATCAATATGAATGTGGGAGACAAGGAAGTGATACCTACTACTAAAAGTCAGGCCAAAGACCATCTAAAAAGTAATGGACAAACTAATGATCCAAAAAGGGATCATAAAGTCACCCCTGAGGTAACAACTTCGCATACTGCAAGTTTAAATGAACTCTGGAACAAGTACCAGGAACGACAGAGACAACAGAAACAGTCAGATGTCAGTGACAGGAAAGAGCTGTCATTGGTAGAACGGCTTGATCGTTTGGCTAAACTTCTTCAGAGTCCTATCACACATTCTCTCCGGACCTCAGAAAGTGTACAAGATGATAACAGAAGGGAACGATTTAAAGAATGGAGTTATAAACAGAAGCAGCAGAAAAGCAAGTTTCAGAAGCAGAAGCGTTATAAAAGCGTAGAGAAAGGCCATAGAAATATATGTGATCTTAAAAAAAGCAAGGTACTTTCTCCTCATCAAACTGGGAGGTCCAATCAAATTAAGATTGAACAGATTAAATTTGATAAATATATTCTGAGAAAACAGCCAGATTTACATTATATCAGCAACACTTCTTCAGATTCTAGACCCTCAGAGGAAAGTGAACTGTTCACAGATACTCCGACCAACATTCTTTCCACCACCACTTCTCCTGTGGAATCAGATATATTGACCCAAACAGATAGAGAGGTGACTTTGCATGAAAGGAGTAGCTCTATATCCACCATTGACACTGCCCGATTGATCCAGGCTTTTGGCCATGAAAGAGTATGTTTATCACCCAGGCGAGTTAAATTATATAGTAGCATCACCAACCAACAGAGGAGATACCTTGAGAAGCGGTGCAAGCACAAGAAATCATTGAATACAGGCTATCCCCAAATGACTTCTGAGCACACCAGAAGGAGACACATCCAGGTACATGGCTGCAAATACCATCTGGCAATGTGACTGCCTTTTTCATGGACTTCTTAGTTAATCTTTGCACTCAGGTGAAAAAAAGCCATTTGCCCTTTCCTCACTATAACATTGCTTACCAACTGGAAAAGAGTGAGAAAGTGTAGTACAGTGCTATTGTGAGTTGTCATTCATTTCATCAACATTCATTTACTGATCGTCTTTTGGATGAAGGGCTTTGCTGCTAGATGCTTCAGAATCAGCTAATCCCCCTGACATCGGGGAGTTTCGAGTTTAGAATGACCTGTTCTGAACAGTGTTGCCTGTTTTTTCTTATTTCCTCCTGTCTTCCAAGAAATATTTGAGATGCTTTTACACACACACACACACACACACACACACACATGCATGCACGCACACACGCACAAACGGTACAATGTGCTTTTTAAAAAGTAAAAGGAGAATTGGGATGATAGAAAAATTAAAGTTGAGGTGAACTGCAACATGATTTTTTTTTTTTTTAAATGAAGAATTGTGAGTGGTGGATAGACAAGCTGAAGCCAGAGGGAGATTTACCTGGTGGATATGTTTGCTAGAAGCTAGCTACAAATTGGCATTATTTTCTAGTACATAGTGTTGCCAGAATTTTGTGATCAGTTAAATCATATGAAAGGAAACCAAATTTTCAAAAGCATTTTACAGATATTTCTGATACAAATACCTAAGAGAAATTTCCTTAGCTGTCTTTATAAAAAGGCACCTCAGTGTAACTGAGCCTTCTACAAACTCCTTATAATAATACCATAAGAATAACTGTAAGACTGTTATCATATTCCTTTGATTAGACAGTAAAGGCAGCTCTAATGGGGTTGACAAATGTAAATCATTGTTTTACCCAAGAGTAAAATTTAGGCTACCTAGAGAAGTACTTTCTAAAGAGGGATGCTCTGTGCATTGAGTATGGAAAGAAAAATACTAGAATTTATTTTCATTTTACTCAACCTTTCAAAATTGATATTTTTTGTGTATTTTATAAAATATGAGCACAGTAGTAACAATTTAAAAATAAATATCTGTTTTGGCAGTGTCTGCTCAAAAATATTTTGATATTAGGATTGTATGACCAAAACAATCTGGAGACCATATGTCTAGAGAAAAGGAGGTACAAGGTGGTCAGTTTACCATAAGTAGTATTTCTCATAGTGGAACTTTTGGTAGGAATTAAATGCCAGTGATTGTATATATTAATGAAATATGATTATTTTAAGTAATGAAGAATTAGGTATAGGGGAGATAGGGAAAAGGATCCAGGAAGAAGATTTGTGTATGAAAAAACACAAAATTTAGTTTGGACCATTTTAAAGTTAACAGTTCAGTGGCATTCAGTATACTCACAGGGTTTTACCATAACTACTGTTTAGTTCCATATATATATTTTTTTGTCACCCCAGTGGAAACCCCATACCCATTAAGTAGTGACTCCCTATTCCCCCTTCCACTAGCCCCTGGCAACAATTTATTTCTTACTTTGCATTTTCCTGATCTTATAAATATATAGATAGTTATTTAGTTTTGTGTAGTTATAGAAAACTTCTACATATTCTGAATATTACCTGAATATTCACCTCTTATCAATAAGATCTGCAAATATATTTTACTATTCTGTAGGTTTCTTCTTGTACAATCAATTGTGTTCTTTGACAATTGAATAGTTTTCAATTTTGATGTACCTCAGTTTATCTGGGTTTTTGTTGCCTATGCTTTTGATGTCATATCCAAGACATCATTTCCAGATCTAATGACATGATGACTTTCTCTTGTTGTCTGCTAAGAGTTTTATAATTTTGTTTCTGACATTTAGGCCTTTGATTCATTTTGAGATGTTTATATATGATATAAGACAAGGATCAACCTTCATTCTTTTTTTTTTTTTTTTTGAAACCAGGGATCAACCTCAGGGGCACTCAACCACTGAGCCACACCCCCAATCCTGTTTTGTATATAGAGACAGGGTCTCACTGAGTTGCTTAGTGCCTCTCTTTTGCTGAGGCCAGCTTTGAACTAGTGATCCTCCTGCCTCAGCCTCCTGAGCAGCTGGGATTACAGGCATGTGCCACTATGCCTGGCTCTCCTGCCTCCATTCATTTTTCTTATAACTGAGTCAATCCCTTGTTATAATTCTATTCAAAATACCTTTTTTAAAAAAATATTTTTTCCAGTGCTAGGGATTGAACCACAAGGGCCTTGTGCAAGCCAGGCAAGATCTCTACTACTGAGCCATGTCGCTAGCATTCTATTTCTTTTTGAGTCAGTTTATATTTTGTGTTTCTTGAAATTTGTTCTTGTCTTTGTTTTTCTATTCTATTTTATTTACCTCCACTATAATCTTCATTATTTCCTCTACTTGCTTTGAGTTTAGTTTGCTCTTTTCTAATTCCTTGCAATTTAAAATCATTATGAATTTGAGATTATTCTTTTTTTAATGTGGGCATTTACAACTGTAACTTTCCCTCTGAGCACTGCTTTTGCAGATACATATTTCCTCCTAAACTTTGCCTTCACTGCATCTCATACGTTTTGGTATGTTTTTTTTTTCATTTATCTCAAAAGTATTTTCTAATTTTCCTTCTGATTTCTTCTTTGACCATTGAGTGTATAAGACTGTATTTTTAAATTGCTACATACTTTTGAATTCCCCAGTTTTCCTTCTGTTGACTTGTTTTCATTCCATTGTGATCATAGGTATACTTTTTATGATTTTAGTCCTTTTAAATGTATTGCACCTTCTTTTATGGGTTAGCATGTAGTCTTTTTTGGAAAATGTTGCATGAGCACTTAAGAAGAGTGTTTATTCTGCTTTGTTGGTTGAAGTGTACTGAATATACATTAGATCTAGTTGGCTTGTAGTGTTGGTCAAGTCCTTTATTTTTTCATTGATCTTTTGTCTAGCTTTTCTATCCATTTTGAAAATGAGATATTGAAGTCTCCAACTATTACTATGGAACCATCTGTTCATTCAATTCTGATGGTTTTTGCTTCATATATTTTAATTCTCTATCATCAGGTAGATGTATGTTCATAATTGTTTATCTTCTTCATGGATTGACCCTTTTAGCAGTATAAAATTCCCTTTTTTTCTCTTGTAACCATTTTTTAACTTGAAGTCTATTTTGTCTGTTACTAGGACAATGACCCTAGCTCTCTTTTGTTTACCATTTGCATGGAATATCTTTTTCCATCTTTTTGCTTTTAAACTCTTTGAATATGTCAGTCTAAAGTGAGTCTTTTTAAGAAAGCATATTGATTATCTGTGTGTGTGTGTGTGTGTGAGTGTGTGAGAGAGAGAGAGAGAGATAGAGATAGATTGAGATTGATTCATTCATTCTGTCATCTCTGCCTTTTAGTTTAAGAATACAATCCAGGGCTGGGGTTGTGGCTTGGTGGTAGAGCACTTGCCTAGCATGTGTAAAGCTCTGGGTTTGATTCTCAGCCACTGCATGTAAATACACAAAATAAAGGTCAATCAACAACTAAAAAATTATTTAAAAAAAGAATATAGTCCATTTATATTCAAAGTAATTATTCATAGGAAAGGGCTTACTTTTCCTATTTTGCTTTGCTTTCCTATGTCTTATATATTTTTTGTTTCTCAATTCCCCATTGCTCATTACTGTCTTTTGTGTCCAATTAATTTTTTTTTGTCCAATTGATTTTTTTTTTTTTTTCATGAGACTGGAGATTGAACCCAGAACCTAAAGCATGCTAGGCAAGCACTCTACCCATGAGCTACATCCCCAGCCCTTTAAAAAAAAATTTGTTTTGATAGGCTGACCACTTTTGTTTATCTGAGAATGTCTGAATTTTTCCTTCATTCTCAATGATTGATCTGCCTCAGTCTCTTGTATAGTTGGGATTACAGACCTGCACCACTGCACCCAGCTCATTTCCTTCACTTTATGTTTTTTTACTTTTTGGGTGGGGGGATTATAATTAGCATTTTAAGCATATAACAGGCTAATTCTGAAATAATGCCACTTTAGTTTCAGTTTTCTTAAAATCTGCTGGTATACGTCTTCCTCCCTCTGTCTTGTCTCCCTATCTTTATAGTCACAAATTACATTTTAATTTGTATTTATTAACAGATTTATAATTATTATTTTAAGCATTTATCTTTTATATCATGTGGGGGAAAGGAGAGGCTATAAACCAGAAAGAATAATATTGCTTTTAAATTTAAAAAAAAATAAAATAATTACCAATGTAATTACCGTTAGTAGTAGTATTTCTTTATATAGCTTCAAGTTATTGTTTAAGTGTCCTTTTTAAAAAATATTCTTACTTGTAGTTGAACATTTATTTATTTTTATGTGGTTCTAAGGATCAAACCCAGTGCCTCACATGTGCTAGACCAGCACACTACCACTGAGCCACAACCCCAGCTCTGTTTAGTGTCCTTTTATTTCAACATAAAGGATTTCCTTTCCCTGCAGGTGTACTGGTAGTGAATTCCTCCTGCTTTTGTTTATCTGAGAATATTTTATTTCTCCTTCATTCTTAAAAGAAAGTTTTGCTGGATATGGTTTCTTATTTTATACTTTTTTCTGTCCTCCATGGTTTCTGATGAGATATTGACAGTCAATCTTACCGAGTATTCTTTCTATATTATGAGTCTCTTTGCTTTTGATCTTACTGCTTTCAAGATTCTCTCATCTTGGTCTTTGATTGTTTGATTATAATGTGTCTTTCTTGGATCTCGTTGATTCTATCCTTTTAGGGCTTCAGTGAACTTACATGTTTAGATTCATGCCATTTATGAATTTGGGGAGTATCTTCAGATACTCTTTTTGCTTCCTCCTCTTATTCCGGGACTATCGATACATAAAATTTTAGGTAAACTGGATGGTGTCCTAGAAGTTTCTTTGGTTCAGTTAATTTTTCTTCATTCTGTTTTCTTTTTGTCCTTGCACTAGACCATTTCATTTCACCTATCCTCAAGTTCACTGATAAAATTCACCTTTGTG